GCTGTGATATGGCATTGTATTCTTACAGATTTTTTGTACACATCTTTAATTTGTTTTCAGAAATTTCATATGTATTCATGTTACTAGTAACTAGGTATAATTTTTACTTTACTGGAGTAGTCAGGTATATAAATAAAAGATAATTTTCCTAGTGGTTGCATCAGTAATTAGGATACCATTTATGGAATCAATGAATTGGTAAGGTTGGAAGGGACCACTGCGGGTCACCTGGTCCACCGCCCTATTCAAGCAGGGTTATTCGAGATCATATGACAAAGGATAACATCCAGATGACTCTTGAATATCTCCAGTGAGGGGGATTGAGAAACATCTTTGGGCAACCTGTTCTAATGCTCAGTCACGCACACAGTAAAGTTGTTCTTCATGTTCGCGTGGAACTTCCTGTGCATCAATTTCTGCCCATTGCCTCTTGTCCTGTTGCCTGACACTACCAAGAAGAGCCTGGCTTCAGTCTCTTGGCACCCTTGTACCAGGGGTTTTTCCTCCCCAGATGCAGGAACCTGCATTTGCCTTTGCTGAATTTCAGATGGTTCTTCTCTGCCCATCTCTGTGCTCTGTCCATGTCCTTCTGAAGGGCTGCACAGCTCTCTCTGGTCTATTGCCCACTGCTCCCAGCTTTGTGTCATCAATGAAACTCCTGAGGAGACATCTGCCCCTTCATCCAAGTAATTAATAAAAAAGTTAAAATAATATTGGGCCCATTATTAAAACCTGGGGGACACCACTATGATAGGCTTCCAAAATAGACCCTGTGCCACTGATTACAACCCTCTGGGATATACTGTTCAGCCAGGTCTCAACCCATCTCACTGTTCACTTAAGTTCGCAGTTTTTGAGTTTGCCTGTGAGGATATTGTGCAAGACAGTGTAAAGAGCCTTGCTAAAGTCGTGGTAGATGATAGCCACTGCTCTCCCCTCATCTTGGCTCATCATAGAGGGAAATGGGGTTGGTCAAGCATGATTTAACTTTTGTGAATCTGTGCTTACTATTCCTGATCACCTCGCCCTTCATATTGGTAGAGGTGGTCTCCAGAATGGAGTACTCCATTGCCTTTCAAGAGATTGAGGTGAGGTTGACTCTGTGGTAATTTCCTGGGTCCTCATTCTTGTGCTTTTTGAAGACTGAGGTGACGTTTATGTTTTTTCAGTCCTCAGGCACCACTGATCTCCACAAGCTTTCAGACATGATTGTGAGCAGCCTCACTGTTGCATCTGCCAGGTCTCTCAGCACTTGTGGATGCATCCTGTTAGAGCCCCTAGACCTGCTGATTTCAAGTTTGGATAGGTGTTCTCTGACACAATCCTCCTTGACAGAGGGAAAGTTCTCCTGCCACCATTCCATTACTCTGGTCTCCTAGATCAGAGATCCCTGAGGGCTGGTCTTGCCAGTGAAACCCAATGCAAAGTAGGTGTTCAGTAACTGCCTTCTCTGTGTCAGGCTACCAGGGTCCCCCTCAATTTAGTAACAGGCCCACGCTATGCTTGGTTTTCCTTTTGTTATTGATGTATTTGAACAAGTCCTTCATTTTGTACTTGTCCTTGACCAGATTCTTGAAGGGCCTTGGCCTTCCTTCTCTCATTTTTATTTACTCTGGCAACCTCTCTATGTTCTTTCCAAAAGGCCTGACGCTTCTTCCATCTCCTGTGGATTTCTTGGCTACAGTTGAGTAATGACAGGAGCTCTTTATTCACCAACAGAGGTCTCTTGCTCCCTTTGCCTGATTTCTTGCTCATCAGGATGCCTCATCCTTGAGCCTGGAATATCTTTCCCTCTTTTTATGAAAGGTTATTAAAGTGATCCTGGAGATGGGGAAACCTTTTCATTTCTACGTTGATTTAGATTTTTGTTTTATGGCTTCTGTCTTTCCAGGTCCTGGAGACACAAGTAACTGTGACTTCTAGCACTTGTATCTCTTTTTCGTCTACTGGCTGTAGGAGATTAGTTGATTTTTTATTCACATTTTTTTCTTTGAAGTCTCTGGTAATCAAGAAGGTGACTCTAATCTCTAGGAAATTCTTTGGAACTGAGACATTTGGACATTCTTCCAGAATGTTTTATAAAATTTATGTTCCTTAGTAGAGAGAGGGTTTTTTGTTTGTTTTTTTAAATTGTAACTTCCATTGAAGCCATTTCAGGAAGTGGAGGCTTTGATGAGAAAATGAGCCCATATAACAATAAACACTGCACTTAAGGAGTTTTTTCCCCTTATAGTGAAATTTACACTTGACTAATTTCTTTTACATCTGAATATGTAACACTTTTGATATTTACTCCATCACATCTCAAAATATACTTAAGTGATTAAAATGAGAAAGAAATTAGTTACGTTTTGTTACTCATAAATGAAGCTGCTTCAAGGAAAGTGCATTATGGTGAGGCCTAGAAAGTGGGAAGTGTGCTTAAGTCTGGCTAGGTAAGGTAAAGGGAGTAAAGACAATATTTCATACTGTGGATGAAGGCAGAGAAACAGTTAAAGAAGACAACTTGTTTTCAAGACCGTATCCAATTTCAACAGTACTTGGAATGTGGGTGTTCATCTGTCAGAAGGATTAGCGATAAATTTCAGGTTTTCATCGAAAAGCTGTACTTTCAGAGTTCTGGATGGTGCTGTCATGCATAACTTTCATCAGTCTTTAAAGAAAATTTTGTTAAAGGTAATTACTTCACAGTCTTGAAGAGTTGATTCAAGCAGCTACTATTGGTTGCCTAGCTCTAAACTTAAAAAAAAAAAGTATAATTATAAAAGTTAAAATAGCTGCATAAAATATTTTTAAACTTGTGTGATGAGAAAAATAGAATAATAGTACAATTCTTTTAAATGTGACTGATGTTTTAGAAGTGTAAAATGTGGGGGCATGGTTTACTAGAGAATATGTTCTGGCTTTCTGAAGGTTGTAAGAGCTATAAGAAATTGTAGCTAGCCTTGGAGGTAGGAAGTTCTAAAACTGAGCAAGTGCCAAAATTTTTGTTCTATCATGTCTAATTTATTCTAAATTTGTATTTTAGAATCCAGTTGGCAAAACCATTCTTAATAGCAATTATTCAGGAAATATTTTAACTTTATGACTTGTTCATCCTAAGAACTAAATCTACATATTATAAGATTTTGAGGTGACTTAATAGCATACAATATATGCAACAAAGACAAATTGTAGTGGCTTTTGTTTTAAAATATTATGGTCCTGTGATTTTGTGGTAGAAGATGAAGCAACTCTACTACAGCCTATAAGAACAAAGTATAAATGGGGAGGAAGTGTGTTAATCTTCATGTGTTTTTACAATGGGCACAATAGGGAGAAGAACATTTTATGATGGTGTGACAACTAAAGGGAAGGGGAAAAGAATTAAGCAAACTGTCACTTCATGATTTAAGATTAGAATATTTTCTTCTGGAGGTTAAAAAAGTTGTGGTTTATGACACAGAAATAATGGCCTAGGAGAATGAATGGAAAAACTGTACAATTTTCTAAAGTCACTGGTCTTTGTATCCATAGGTGGATTAAAAGATTTATTCTGTCATTATTATATTGTTTGAGTATTTCTGTCAAAATAAATGCTGCATTTTGGGAGTCAAAATATACCCTGCACATTTTTTTACTTGCTGATAATATTAACAGACAAAATGTAATCGAATGCATTACAGATTTCTGAAGAACAGAAGCAAGAACAGATATTCTAGGATTAAATTGAGTGATAATAAAGTTTTTACATAATAATGATCTTGCATAACCAAGGACATACTTGTTTTTGAAGAGTTATCTGATTAATAATTTGAAAACCACATGCCAAAATCCATAAAAAAATAAATTTTAGCGTGCGGAATTTGTCTGTTATATTTGTGCAATCGTTGGCTGTGTTATGGGGTTTTCTACCTTTTATCTGTGCCAAAAATTAGTAGACATGATCTCTAGTGTCTGCATGGGAATTTGAATCTGAAAATATTGAATTACTCTTATTTGGATAGCATAGTCTCGCTTAATGAAATTTAGTCTGAACATATGATGAAATTCTCCAGGTTGAATCAAGATGTGTTTCTTTCCTGGAGGCATTCTAGTTTCCTAACCTGTGTGTCGGTGTTAATCAGGTATCTGGAAACTATTTCTGCAGCTCTCAGGAAATTCAAAAAGCTAAACAAATTATGGACACTTTGCACTGGAGCAATGGACCACTTTGAGCAAACCCCAGCTTAGTGCAGTAAAAACTATGCATTCACAGTATGGTACGACTTTTTTCAAGAAGAGTATGTCTTAGTAGGCTTTTGAGAGAAGGAAACTTGGATTTACCTTTCAGCTGCAAGCTTATTCTTCCATCTTCCTTAAAGACTAAAAATTAAGGATAAATAATAATTTATAATATCTTTTTTTCTTACTTCTTCTAAACATGCCTCTTTACTATCGTGAATGTCCCTTTTTTTACCAACCTAGCCATAAAATCAATGAATGACAACCTTACTCTAATTTTAACAATTTGCGTTGGAATTGTGTATTCTTTCAACAAAAGGTGGTTATAGAAAAGGAAGAGGAAATCTCATTCATTTCATATAAACTGTTAGTTTAGATGCAATAAAGCCTTGTTTGAAAGCAGATTGAATAATACCCCCTTTCAGTTAAAAGAATGCCCAATACTGAAAAACAATCTCACAAGGCAAAAAATGCACTTAATTTAGCTTGGAAAGTTGAACTAAGCCTTTCAGTTTCGTGTTTGTGCTTTATACACTGCAGCATGGTTGCACGTGGTTTTTAAAGGGAATGCTGTGAAAGGATTAAAACTTTTTCTCTTGGTGAAAGCATTCTTCTTTCTTATGAAACACAAATGCAGCATACATTTTTCAATTCTTACTTTTCAGTCTTCTGCCTCAGTAAAAGAAACTTCAAAAAATGGATCTTTTTTCTTTTTTCTTATTTTTTTTTTTTTTGAGAATAAGACATACACCAAATATTTTTAAGAAAATTTCTCTTTCTTTTCTTTTAAATTTCAGACATGGGACACAGAACTGGAGAGATCTGCAGAGTCATGGGCTGAAACCTGTCTGTGGGAGCATGGACCAGCAAGCCTTCTTCCATCAATTGGACAAAATCTGGGGGCACATTGGGGAAGGTAGTTTAAGATACTATTTTATGCAATATATAAGATTTTTAAAAATACAACAAAACTTGCTTGTTAATAAAAGGAAAAAATGGCAGAAGCTACAACTTTTGAATGATCTAATACACTGCTACTGGCTTTCCTAGGTACAGACCTCCAACATTTCATGTCCAAGCATGGTATGATGAAGTGAAAGATTTCACATATCCCCATCCTCATGAATGCAATCCGTATTGTCCATATAGATGCTCTGGTCCTGTTTGTACACATTACACACAGGTATGTAAGTGTGCTTGATTTTAATCACATATGAAAAGAGTGGCAGAGACTTTCCACTAGGTTGCTGTCTGACACTTATAGCACACAAAATTGCACTACATACCACAGCACAAAAGCACAAAAAGGGCTTGTTTAGACTTCACTGTTACAAGCACTGGGTATCAATGACAAAGTAAGGTTGTCATACAAATCTTTAGATTTCATCCTCATAAATATCAGCAGGATGGAGGAAAAAGCTCACAAGCTCCAGTGTTAAACTGAGTGTTACTGCTCAGCGCATTCTGCATAATTTGGATAGCCCTTCCCATAAAAGGTTGAAGAAAAAGCTCATTTAACAAAAAACAAAAAGTTTTTTTAGGTAAATTCCTCAGATCAAACGGTAGTCTTTAAGACATTGCTTTAAGTTCAGATAGATTTTGAAATTAGTGATAATTTACTTCCTATTTCTGAAATCTGTGTATCTAGCCTGTAGTTTTGTTGAGGGGTACCAATTATGCTTTAAATGAATGGGAAATACATGATCTTCAGATTATATTATGGCCCACATATAATTTTTGATTTAACATTGAAAAACTTAAAAATTATGAATTTTTAAGCAGTTATGTTTAGTAGCATAATTTAATATTGTATCTCATTTTAAAATAAAGCTACTTCTGTATTCTTATTTACTGTATCTATAATCTGTAATTACATTTACTATTACATGCAAGATAAATACATATAGACAGCTTTTTTGTGGTACTAGTTCTTCACAATAGTTATCTCTTTCAACTCTTAAATCCTGCTGGATCTACAGATTTGGCTTACCTTGTCTAAAGAAATTTTCAGTATTTGTCATATTTTTATCATTTGAACATTCCAGACTTTGTAATTTTGATTATTTTTGAGATCTGCAATGAAATGTGAATAAAGAAGGGCAGCCACCTTAGGTTGCAATGACATAAAAGAACATTAATTTAAAATCCATTATTTGGGTCTATTCAGTGTATGAATATTTTTATTAATGTTTCTATCCTTTCTTACCTCCTTCTACTGCTGAAAAATATCTGTTGTCTCAGTCCAATCAATCCAAATCCCTCTGGGCCTTTAGGTTGTACTGGGAACTCCAGCACACTGGACCATAACTTCTAGCTCACAATTATCAATTAATTGTGATTCCTAGAATCAGATCTTCAGATCATGTTTTGTAAATGTTTTGCTACACTTTCAAATATATGCTTATAGCATTTGTATAAAATGAAAGTCATATCTTTACCATCAAGGTAAAATTTTTCTCTCTAATTAGGGTATAACTGAATGGCCTTTTGACAGCTGTAATTAGACCACTTCAAGCCATTTATAACAGAGGGGAATACATCACTTTGGTAATTTGAGTTTTGTATGTTGGAGATAGTTTTGATTTTAAGTTGATCATCTTTGGTTTTCCTCTTTTCTTTTCCGTAGGTTGTTTGGGCTACAAGTAGCAGAATCGGTTGTGCAATTAATTTGTGTCATAACATGAACATCTGGGGGCAGATTTGGCCAAAAGCAGTTTATCTTGTATGCAATTATTCTCCTAAGTAAGTAGATTGACACCCAAAAATATCTTGAGGGGGCAAGATACTTTATAATAGTCCAGGAAATAATCTGCAAGGAAATCAGTCTGGATTTTCTGGTTTTGTACCATTACAAAATAGAGCATTGTTTCCAAACAGCCTTTGGCTGCACAAATACTCTCATGAGTTTTCTGGTGCTTCAGCTTTCTGGCCTGTCTTTTAGTACATACACAGCATCAGAGACCTTTATTATAGTGTGATATTTTTCTGAAAAATAAATCTATTTCCCCACTGTGACTTAAAGGAATGTGCAACAGGAAGCCCATGGTTAAGATCAAACTTTATAGGATATTCCATCTAGGAGAGAGTGGAGCCCATTCTCATGAAGTGGAGGAATTTAGTTTTATGGTGCTATGCCACTCTGAAAAGATTGTACAGCGATTTATGTCAATTTTTAATTTTTTTTCTTCATGGACTTTTCAACAAGATCCTGTGAATTTGTTGTAGAATCATAGAATCGTTGGGATTGTAAAAGACCATTAAGACCATTGACTCCAGCCAGTAACCTAAGGCTGGCAAGTCCACCACTAAACCATGTCCTTGAGTACCACCTCTACACACCTTTTAAAAACCTCCAGGGATGACAACTTCACCATTTCCCTGGGCAGCCTCTTCCAGTGCTTGGCAACTCTTTCAGTGAAAAATGCTTCCTAACATCCAATCTAAACCTCCACTAGTGCAACTTTAGGCCATTTCCTCTCATCCCATTGCTTGTGACTTTGGAATATCAGAAGAATGTTGTCTATGTGCCTGCTGGTTTTCATAATTTATTTCTTGATATATTAGGTGCTGTTTAATATTAACATGTTAATATGCTCATTGATTAAGGCATTTTTTGCTATTTTTTTCTGTAAAGGGGTAACTGGTGGGGTCATGCTCCTTATAAATCCGGCCGCCCCTGTTCTGCATGTCCCCCTAGTTTTGGAGGAGGTTGTAGAGAAAACCTTTGTTACAGAGGTATGTACTATTTCGCCATTACAGCTATAAACAGGAATAGAAATGTAACTTTTCTTTTGATTTTTTTCCTCATTGTGCTTTAACATAGTGGAATAAAATATATTCTGTGTGTGTCCAAAGACCAGTTAGGCCCTACTTTGCTATGCTGAATGGCAATATATGCTTGTGATGAGTGAGGCTGAGTTTCACCAGAGGGAATGGAGTGCACTGAATTCCTGCTGATAAGTGCTGATTCAGGGCTTTTAGTAGACGAAGATGGAGACTCATTGTACGCTCTTTATATGCCTTTCTGTAATTACACTGGAAGTCTATGCAGTAATTTGTTTATAGGGAAACATTATCTCAGCGACATAGTCATGTGTTGTGTGTGAAAAACCAAGAACAAAGTTAGAAGACATTAGTAATTAAAGAAAATGTCAGCTAGGATGATTATTAGCTTAAAATTTTTGGAATAGCATTTATAGCATTGAAACACAGCATATTACGAAGCTGCTACTTCTTTTTGTTCTACTCTGTGAACAAGTCATTTAGCAATTTTTGTTAATAATTTCTGAGACTTCATATGGACCATATGAAAGCTGTATATGTGTGCCCAAATAGCTTCCTTATGGTTCTAAGTACGAAACGTAGATACAGTTAGTAGTGTTTCAGAATTATTTTCACTACGTATGAATAGAAGGGCCTCATTTTCACGTGTATGTTGCTATGAAATAAGCTTTATTTGCATGCTGTCTATGAACTTGGTAATACTTTGCCCATGTGTAACAGAGATTGTCCTTGTCCAATTGGTTTTCTGATGGCATGAAGATATGAAAACAAGTGCATTAATAACGGTTTCATACTTAAATTATACTACACATGCTGGGAAAAAAAAGTATCACGAACATACTTGAGGTGTTTTATTAATCTTGAGTTCTCCAGCTTATGAAGCAGTGTAGAGTTTTCCTTGCTTTCTTCCTTTTGTCCACCATTTTATGAGAACAAAGCAGTTTTACCAAAACATGGTAAAGGATTTACATTCCACACAGATTTTATTTTTTTTCTGAGAGATTATATTTTTTTTGCCTATTTTCTGAAACAGAAGATTCAGAAAGACCGTATTCCCCCCATGAACCAGAAGAGGAAACCAATGAGATTGAACGCCAGCGATCCAAAGCCCAGGATGCAACTGTGCAAAGCCGGCCAAGAGCACATCAGCCTTCAGCCTCCACAGGCACTGATGATAATGAGAAAAATGAAGTGATAAGCACAGAGCAAATGTGTAAGGAATTTACCTGATTTGCAAGTGGTCAACAAAATTGAATTATCTAGTATCAAATTCATTGCAGTGAATTTGCTTTTTGCTTGTTTTAGCTCAGATTGTTTCATGTGAAGTAAGGCTAAGAGATCAGTGCAAAGGAACAACTTGCAATAGGTACAGTAAATTTTACAATTGTCATTTTGAGATTTTTCTGAAAGGCTATATTTGTACATGAGCTGGAATAGTTCCCCTTTTTGTAATCCCAGGATTTAAAACCAAGTTGTATTTAATTCTCTTAGGTATGAATGTCCTGCTGGCTGTTTGGATAGCAAAGCCAAAGTTATTGGAAGTGTACATTATGAAATGGTAAATACTTTTAAATTAGATTTTGTAGCAGTAGAGTCTTTGATGAAATATCTTTTCTGTTGGCATTCTAGTTAAAATTATATTAAGAATGGATTTTGAGGATGTCAGCATTCACCAAAACTGAAAGCTTACACCAAATGTTTAAGAAAGCATCGGATGACCTAAATTTTCATCTGCTACTCTGTGTGTACTGTACAAATGTACTTCATACTTATAGATACACAGAAGTAGAATTTTTGTGTCCACATATTTACATGCAAATATGTGAAGGTGTAACTAAAGGAGGAGTACAGCAATTTGTGGGTATGCTTGTATAAATTGTTTCAGTTACATGGACCTGCTTGTGTATAACCTTAATACTAGATGAGAGTATATAATTTGCTCTGTAGAATGGGAAAACAGTATAAGAAATGACATCTATTGTGAACCAGTGAACTGTAAGTGAGAATAGTTTATCTCTGGGTAAGGCAAAGTGGTGTTTTATTTGCTTGAAATAACACCTACGTGGGCCAAGTCAAACATAAAAGTCTCTTTACTGAGTTTTTAAAGACACGTAATTAAAACCTGTTTTTTGTCTGACATGGATCTGCTTTTCCTGCTCTGTTTTTCAGCAATCCAGTATTTGTAAAGCTGCCATACATTATGGCATCCTAGACAATGAAGGTGGTTGGGTTGATGTGACTAGGCAAGGGAGGAAAAATTACTTTATCAAGTCTTACAGAAATGGTGTTCAGTCAATTGGGTAAGTTTTCTCTTAAAATTAAAATATATGAAAAGGTTTTCATCTGTTTATTTTTATTTCATACAAAATATATCACATTTTTATTAACATTTTGCTACGCCTTTTTGTCATAAATAATATGAAAATGCTGTAAAGAGGCATGTGGATATAGCAATATCATATCCATTCTGAAACTTTAGGCAGTGTTTAATGGTGGACAGAATTGGCACAATAATGATGTGAAAGAAGGTTAAATAATGTACAGAGTGACTCGGGCAATAAGGTTGTGTTTGTAGCTAAATAATGCTGAGAGTATTCAGTTAATTAATTGGTAAGAGTATATATTTATTGTCAAAAACTAGCACGTACTGGCAGATTATTTTATGTGTTTTTGACATGGACAGAGCAATCTATGACAGTTAACAAAGCAATAATATTACAAGTTCATGTTTGTAAATGACCCTCTGGTAGTGTGCATATGGAACAAGGAGAAAAGACATCTCTTCCTGTATGCTTTGGTAATTTCATTACAGTTTCACAGTTTACATATGACATTTTTCACAAATATTTTGCATGATTTCTACATTGGCCAGTGATAGAATAATATTCCATACTGTGGAAACTTAGTTTGGAGTTGTACTGCATTGCTGAGGTGCCTTCCTTAAGACTGGTAGATGAAAACAGTTCCAAATACTTGTAGACATGCTAAAGAAAAGCCCAGAAAACTAACTCATAGAAATGGAGAATGCTTGGCTGTTTCTTATATAATTATCCAATGATAGATGAAGAACATCAATATTAATATATTTGAATCTAAGATATTATTGGTATTTGCAAATTACACTTCACAATTTCGTAATGTATTCTTCAGAGCTTTACATTGATGTCCTTATTTCTGTCTGTAGTTAGTATACATGCAATGGTGGTATGTGTGTAGCTCAAAGGAGTAATATTGAGCTGAAAGAAAACAGGATTTTTCTGAGCGATATATTTTGCTCACATGTAAGCCCAAGAGTCAAGGAGACAGGTAATCAGCAGCAGCTGTGCTCTCACTCTGTGCAGTGCAAACAAATAATACAGGCTATGACACCTGTCATCATTTCTCTTTTCAACAGGTATGTCTAATCCTGCATAGAGAAGAGCATTGGCGTGGTAGCCTTAATTGAGTGGCCTATAATTTGGACTACCTGGGTAGCACTTAAAGCATTGATATAAATCAGTTTCTTTGGATCATCTGATGACCAGACTCTGGTTTGATTTACTTGCCTAAAAATGAAGATACAGGCAGACATTTTTTTGCTTGCTTTGATGCAAAGGGAAGTAGAGCTTGATTATATCAATGCTAACATATGAGGAGACAGCTTGCTTACAAATGTAGAAGTAAAAAAGCTGTAAAAAAAAAAATCTTTAAACTGGAACCAATTGATTTCCCATCAGTTGAAATCTCTGAGTTTCTATGCTACATGAGACAAAACTGTATGATTGTCCAGCCTACAGAGGGTTTTTAGCACCTATCCTCTGAGAATTGGAACTCAGGAAAAGTTATTTTGGCTATGGGATAAATAAAGATTATTTGCCAAAGTTTCAAACCTTCAAAATGCCCATCAATAAGGCAGGAGATGCCTTGCAGCTACCTGACTCTCACCAGTGTCTGTAGATGGAGCCTTGCATAAACTACTATTTAGTCTATTCAAGAATAGATGAAATAAAGTGGATCTCACCTCTACTGTGTATTTCAAACCAGAATACAGAATACAGAAAATTAAGTGTCAGGACAGCATACAACAAGTGTTCTAAACTTCAGCTCCTTGAATTTCTAATCAGGATTGCTAATACCAGTGTTTTTTCAGCTGCTGGATTTTCTTAGGATAGGGTACTGTTCTGAATATCATAACAAGCTAGTCAACAATAGAATACATATTCCTACATCAGTGTTTGACAATGCTAGGGCAACAGAAGTATGAGCTACATTAGTGAAAGTTAATTGGATCCAATAAATGAGAAATGTGAAATTGATGGGTCATACAAGTAAATAAACTGATGCAGGCAAACAGTGAGGTCCACAGGAGCAATTTGCTCCTAAGGTGAAGAGGGAGTAATTTCCTTGGTTTGTTGTATTTTGGGGGTTTTTTTGTTTGTTTGTTTGGTTTTTTTGTTTGTTTTTTTTGATAAGTAACTTTATGGGTGCCAAAGGCATCCTCAGTTTCTTTGTTACAGATGAAAAATATCACAATCAGAGGCATATCCCAGGAGTCAAAAGAGGAGGAAAATAGAAGATGAGGGGAACAAAATAGAAACATTCATCAATTTGTAATTAAACAACATAATCTAGGTACCTGACTTTTTATAACAGGAAGCAGGTACATCTGAGTGCCATATAATTACTGGAGGGGAAAAGAGCTCTTACATGTTATACTGGGTTTTTAATGGTAAGGAATGAACCTTAAGCAAAAGGTGAATGAGCTCTTCTGGTAGATGAAAGCTTCTGAGCAACCACATGCTACATTATGAGGGACCAATATATTGCTTAATTGGTTCCTATCACACGTTCTCTTAGCAAATTAAACTTTTGAAAGAGTTTAACGCACATTTCTGTTTTTGAAACAGATTCACTGGGAGTACAAAGCAAATGTGTCATTGCAATAAATACATTTCCATCTGGGGAGGAGGAGGTGCAGTGGCTAAAACCTGGTCATGGACATTCTCTTGGGCTTATTTCCATATTTTCTAATAAAAATTATTCTAGCTAAAAGAAATCACTGAAATATGTTATTTACTGATAATTTCTAATATTTCTTCTTCAGAAAATACCAATCTGCTAACTCCTTCACTGTCTCTAAAGTAACAGGTTAGTATTTATTTCTTACAAGCTCAGTACTACTCTACTTTTTCTAAATAGTACACATTTACTTGTTTGTGTTTTATTTTCTTCAGTTCAGGCTATCACCTGTGAAACCACAGTGGAACAACTGTGCCCATTTCAAAAACCAGCTTCACACTGTCCGAGGTAAAATACATAAAATGTTTTTAATTTAAAGTGCTGCTCTATTTTCTGCCATTTACTAGTTATTTTATCTTAAGTTGTTGAGAAAGGTGACAACAGTAGCTGTAAAAATAAAGTAAAAAATGTTCAAGTGATAATTTAATCTTTGGTCTCAGTAGAAGACAGGGTAGGTAAAGATGATCTGCAGGATTTTTCATTAAGAAAATATCTTTCTCTTTTATTCATTAAGATCCTGTTGCTAATCTTAGTGGAATCCTTACACTAAAGACTGTGAATAAAAGTGCATTTTTATTTTTCATTGTCCATTATTTTATATATATGCACTTTGGGCAAAGTACACATTATTTCAATTTATTTACCTGTAAAGCAGATACAATAGAAGGATAAAATTCTGATAATTATCATGGAAGTTACCCATTTGCTTGGGAATTCTGGAGAAACTGGATTAAAAAAATTTGAAACATGTCTAGTTAAGGTAAGGCCTGGTCTTTAAATATCTGTGCCATTTCTTTGAAGGCTGTGTTTTAACTCTTCAAAAGGCACCTGTACCACAATATTTTGACAAAGGAATTCGGTAACACTTCTTAAAACCATAGATGAGTCAAAGGAAAATACACTGTAGCATGATTTACCACAAATTAAGCTGGAGATATCCACAGGATTACTTTCATAGCAATCATTCAGCCAACACAGGAAACAAGTACAAAGCCAAAACTGCTAGGAAAACATCCCTTCATGTAGCACTTGGGTCCATGGACTTACTTGGTGTTTGGCTATGACTCTTGGCTTTCTAGCTGGAAGATGTGGAGAAGTAAGCTGAGGACTGGAACACAGGAATGGATGGCTACAGTCTCCTATCTGTTTCTTTTTCTCTTTATTATTAAAAACTAAAGCTAGCTTCATTAACAGAAAAACAGGTTTTGTCTTTAGGAAAATTAAAGAATAAGTACAAGGTTAAAATGACATAATTCTGATGTGTCAACTTAAGGAACTTCACAATGGCAGTGATTCATTCAAGATTCCATGCATGGTCTTAATTCTGAAAATGTGGTCTTGGAAATTACAAGCAGTAATCAGTCATGGCATTGATTACACGACCTCTTTTTGTCCTCTTACTCCCAACTCATAAATCAGCAGGTCTTCAACATGCTTCTTCAACTTCTTGCTTCCTTCTGACAAAAATATCTTTCCTGACTCTTATCACCACGTTCTAGTTACCCATCTGGCAAGACTCTAGCATGCCCAAGTGATTTGACTTCCCAAATATTGATTGGGGCCTGGATAACATTTTAAAAAAGAACACTTGCCCAGGGCTGTACATGTAGGGTGGCTCCATTTTTCAAATGAAGTTGCTCAGAGTAGACCTTGAGTCAGACAATGATTCTTGCTTGTAGCATATCACAGTTAGCAAATTAAATGCTGACACCTTCTGCACTACACTTAGCTTCCCACATGGTTTTCCTGTGCATTTTGAAGGTATAGAAGACATGAACCACAGAAAAAATTTTCCTCAAATGTTAACAAGATGCTGTTAATAAAGACAATGTTTGTTTTAATAGGTTTCTGACCTCCCAGAATCAGATAGATTCATCTAGATGAAAATCCAAGGTTTTTCATTCTAGCCACACATGCCAATGCTCAGCTTCATTATAAATTGCTAAATTGGCTTGTGTCACCAGGTCATCAGTATCAAAGCAGGTCCTCAGTCAGATCTGCCTCTTCTGAGCCTGTACATTTTATATAGGGCACTTAGGTAAATTATAGAGTAATGAACAGGCTGTCTTCTCACTGATGTTTCTACTTGCCTCACAAGTGTTGAACAAGAACACCATCTGCTTATCCAAAGGAAAGAAGACCAGATTTGTTAAAGTATGATTTTAAGCACTACATGTGAAATTCAACACATCAGCAATGCTTTCAGTTGTATGGTCAAAGCCTTGAAAACTCGCAGGTTTTAAATAACATTATGGATCCATATGTATAGACAATCAGTTTGATTTGTATTTAATAATGCTGTAATTGAACATGATATATTAATGCTCTGATACTCTTCCTAACTGTATGTGGCTTTGTTTTTGATCTTTCAGGGTGTACTGTCCTCACAACTGTATGCAGGCAAATCCACACTATGCTCGTGTAATTGGTACACGAATTTATTCTGATGTAAGTATAGGGATTTACATTGTGTTATAAAATGAGATATAAAATTCTATGAAAAAAGTTATAATGTAACTCTAAGATAGAATATTGATATACAGTTTTCCTCCATATGATGTTTTTTTACAAAAAAAAACCCCTTTGTTTTTAAAAGATTATTTTCAGTGGCTCCTATTTAAGTTAGCAGTAGTCAAAAGCTGAAGATATTGAAAGTTATTTGAAAACTCATTGTAGGCTTCACTAGACTCTGGACCCATACTTTAAATTGTTTTTTAATCAAAATTCCCACTGTTCAATATTTGTTCAGTATTAGCAGTGTATACTCATTTAAACCCTTGCATTTTAGATTCTGATGCAACCATAACTTCTGTCAGACTTTACAAAAAATATTGCTCTTAAAATAAATGTCTGCAGTCTCGTTATTTTGAATATTTCTTATGTGTATGGATAGCTAAGTATTTCCAACACAGTTGGATATATTTATGTAAAGTATCTCACACTGTCATATTATTTTAACAGTTTTTTTGTCATTCTGTTAGCTAGTCAACTTTTTTTTCCCTGTCTTTTCTACAGCATGTTTAGTTCTGAGGTGGGTAGAAAGTCTGAAAAGAGATTTCTAATTTATGCCCCTCCTTTGTCATGTCTCTGTGAAGGACCCAGGATGTAGTGGCAGAGAAAGCAGTTTGTATTTTTGGCAGTAAACTCTAGGGTTTGACTGTCTTATGGATGTCATAAAGAGTAGTATGACAACTACTGGGTCAGATGATGATTTTCACTACTTTCCAGTTCTTTGAAATGTGTGAAACCAGTATGTGAATATTTACTCTTAAGCATTATGAAACTAACTGATGTCCATTAGATTACCTGAGTGTTTTGTCCTGGAAACAGTCTTGTCCATAAGTAGTGTCATGGGTGTGAATAGTATTTCCAGTTTAGAAAGATAATTGATTTGTGTACTGGATCCTTAATGTGCATAAAAGGGGCAGTGAAAATAGATTCAATGCAAGTCCAGTTTGTGGAAGATGATTTTCTTTCAGCTTTGTGGTTGAAATTAAGAGCTACAGACAAAGTTTCCCTGTGAGTTAGAAGAGACTGTTATAGGAGAAATAAGACATTGTGTTTAATCTTGACAGGGGAAATCTCATAATATGTATTTTCTTTGGCTGGAGAAGTTCCAGATGACTTTAATTAATGTTATGGAGGCATACTTTAACTTTTTTTAGGTGTACTATCAGTAAAGTATTCATAATTCTCTGTTATGGGAAAATATAGAAAATATGATGTAGAAAGCTATTAAATAGCTCCTATGATGGTATGTTAAAGACACTTGTGGTTTAAATGCCTTTGTAGAGTAGTGCTTTGCTGTGGTAGATCTGAAGAAGGAAAATAATTAACTTGGTATTCAGATCCTATGACCTGTTAAAAATGCTAATAAAATTAGGAGTGTTCACAACACAGTAATAAAGCACGGCCATGTAATGCTGTATGAAGTGTTCATACTAACTTAAAAATACTGCCTTATACATCCTTTGGAATTTTTTCATCAAAATGAAAGAAACAATCACAAATCTTTGAAGTTTTCCAGAAAGTGACACAAGGTTGCTAATGTAAACCACAAATAATATGCTGAAATTTGTGATAGACATAATGAAATCCTGTTTTGCTTAAATTAACAGGAGGCTTGCCTTAGTAGCTCAAGGATGTGTGATCTGGATGACATAATATTGAGCATAGGAAATACTGTGGCATCACTACTGGAATCTGATTCTATTTAGATGCATGTCTAATAGTCTCATTCCAAGACAACGAGAAGTTATTGAGAGATAAGGACAGATAATACTTTGAAAAAAAAAGATATTTTGTATATGTTTATAAAACTATATGCATCTATTTGTAGCTATTCCTACAAATTAGTTCATAATTATTAATTTACGCTCATGTAATTGTTCATTTATTCAAAAACTATGTGCATTTGTTCTCCAGTCTCATCAGGAATGTAGCATCAGAATATCAGTTTATTTTTCATCTGAAAATAGCCTCTGAGCTGGCCTCATGAACCCCAGTCTTCTGACCTCTCCTTTTTCACATATTCCATTCAAGGGTCTTGCCTTCACCTTTGAAATGTAGTGCATTAGCCCAGCCAACTTGATTGGTCCAGTTGTGGTGCCAGCCCTTACAGTGGCTCCATCCTTTGCTGGAGATAGATTCCAGCAAGCAGTTAGCCTGCTCTGTCAAAATCTCCATCCCTTGACTTTTCCTTTCCTTTTTACTTGACTAGAAACTTCCAAATAATGTTGGAACAGCCAGTATCTTAGCCACCCTCATATGTAATTATGAAAGTATACCCCTATATCATGATGTAAAGAGTGAGGGTACATTTTGGCTACTATTATAGATGTGAGAAAGGTGATCTTTCTTTTCCCCAATTGTACCTTCATCCTTTTTTTACATCTCCAGTGGGAACTGAAAACAAAGTTACTGCTGTGTTATTGTACTAGGAATGAATAGAATGAATAGTTTTCTTCTAGTTCTTCAGTGTAGTTAATTGCTTGTAAATACAATCTTTTATTTCTTCTGACTGTAATCCTGTATTGCAGAGTCCGTTATTCCCCCTGGGTATTTGAAATTGCACATGATCAGTCTACTCTTTTGTTACTCCACAGTATGGATAAATAAGGTGTGCTATAATCTTAACAATAAGGCATCTATTGGTGTTCAGGGTATGAAAAACATTTTGCAACCTTGGGTGGAGGAAAAGTAGAGAGGGGTATAAATGGCATCCTTTCTGGCATGTTCAAAAGCTTCACCCAGCCGTGTGGAAAGAAAAACTCTAAAGCATCTTTGCAAAAGATTATTTGCATAAATTACTTCAGATCTTTACTTGTTTAAATATTGTAACATTAAAAAACAATAAATGAGTGAAGTATATATGAGTGAACCTGGCAAGTCCTGTGCTTAGAATGAAAGAAGGAAAATCATTACTATTTTAAGTTCCTGATTTTATGTAGCATGGAGATTGAAAATTGCTGTGATAACATATATAGAATATTCCAATTATAACTGGAAGAAATGCAGTTTTTTGTTTAAATTGTGGCCTGTTTGACCAGCTATTTACATTTCTATTGGCTAAATTTTTAAAGGTTGCTTTTGGAGAAACTTACTGCATTGAACACTCTTCACACCAAAATACCTTGTCTCTAAGTGGAGAGACACTGAAGCTGGAACTACACTTTACTATGCTCTCTTTTAAATATTAGGACCTACCTTCTGGAATATCTAAGGAGTTTCACTCTTCTGACAAATTATTAAAATGCTGAAAGACTAATAGAGTGATGAAAGTTTAAATCAATTATTTAACTTAAAGGTATCAAGAATGTCACTGAGAAATCCCTTCTGTGGGTATTGTTTATTCCTCATGGGTTCACAAGGGGAATTTGTGACCAGAAAATAGAGATTTCAAGCAGCTATAAGTGCTGTTAATTCAACAGAGAACTTTAATTTTAGACCTTTATCTTCTGTCTGATGCTCCCATTATACCCTTCATCTAGTTAGCTTTTAGTATTTACCCATGCCTGGATAGAAAACTGTAATGCTCCCTTTAATTATGGGTCATTTCAATAATGTTTGAGGTTTTGGTTGATAGATCCTTTCATTTTGAAAGGCTGAAGAATTCAAACATGTTCCTGATCTTTGAACTGAAATAGCCTGAAATAAATTATTTTTGCATCATGGTGAAAGGGATCTGAAATCTCTTCCTGAATTCCTGATGTAAATATTGTAAGACTAATAAAATTAGTCATGCAATAAAAATTATTATTTTATGTTTCTTAGACTTGGTTTAAATACCTGTATTTGTCTTCTTCTTAGAAATGGTGAAGTCAAAGGATGAATGCAAAGCTAATCTGTGTCTTCATTCCTCAGATCTCCAGCATCTGCCGGGCAGCAGTGCACGCTGGTGTGGTCCGCAACCAGGGTGGTTACGTTGATGTGATGCCAGTGGACAAAAGAAAGGTCTATGTGGCTTCGTTTCAAAATGGGATATATTCAGAAAGGTACAGAGCCCATTTGCAAAGGCTACACTTTACTCTTGGCCTCGATAAGGTTCACAGTCTTGCATTGTTTCTGCTTGTACCTGGGGCAGTGCTAGAAGCCAAACAAACAGGCCACAGGGGGTGATTTAGAGGGCTTGTGTAACAGCAGCTGCGGTGACTTTGGAGAAGCTGTGCTAGTGGAGCTGCCTGCCTCCTCTAAGCTCATACATTACCCTGAAAAGCTGCTTATGAAATAAAGTACACTCTTGTTTACTTTGCTGGTTCTCTTAATATTTATATTTCTCTTAATATTTATTTATTTGCTGGCTCCCTCTCAATATTTAATAAGAAAATTGCAGTTACTTCTTTAAGGATTTTTAAAAAATTAGCATTAATGATGCAGGTTCATTGGTTCCTGGTGTTCATTATTATGTTCATTGTTCCTGATTGGTTCATTAGTGATTTACATGGTATCGAACCAGTGATCCTGAATCATATTTAATACTCACAAGCATTAAAATTCACAATCATTTAAACATATTTTTGATGTTCTCCTTTTAATAATTTGTTTTTAACAGTGTTTTTTGAAAGACAGGGAGATGCTGTGAAAGTTCACTGCTTGTATTGAGTGTATTTATACATTATGTGCTGATAACACATGGCTATATGTTGCAGATTTATTTTAATCCCTGAAAAGGTTCTCCAGGTTCTTTAGCAAGAAAGAGAAATTACTATAAAAACATTGTACCACTCTTTTTGTCCTGTAAAGCTGAGAATGTTTCTTAGACGAAAAATTATGGTTACCTAATCAGACGATAGTCTTTCTGAGAAATTTGAGTGGGAAAAACTTCAAAAGGTTTCTGTAAAAAACTTAGAAGTAGGAAAATAATGAGTATTTTTGTCTTGTTTTTAATTGTGGGTAGGATAATGTCTTCTCTCTTTCTCTCAGAACTTTCAACAATTCTGAAACTTGTAAAATACAGATTTTCTTTGCTCAATGGATGGCTTATTTTACATATTTTTTGATTTTTCTCTGTGATCATCCAATTCCCTTAGAGTGCTTCCTTACTGACACTTTTGCTCTCTGTATAAATTTTCTTGAATAGAGAGGCAAATAGGAAGAATGATGCCAATTTGATATTTATACTTTAATATATGTATTATATTCAATCTATAAATATACATTTAAGACTATGTATAAATACACATATATTTTCATATCATCTTGGTAAAGTTTGGGAGGTCAGCAGTTTGGAAAAGAGTCACATGCAAGTTTTCTGTGAGCAGAAGATGATGAATTCTCATGCAGTTACAGCCAACCTGGTCCATCGTGCCTTTCCTTGCTTCCACCTCCATTTCTCTTTCCTTCCCAGATAAACTTCAGACAGGGTGTCCTGAAGAAAAAGCAGTGGACCATTAAATAAGATGTGCTGGTCCAATTTCTAAGGCAAAAATACTCATTCTATCAACATTTCATTGGAATTGGGTATTTTTGTTTCTTTTATTTTTAAACCAGATACTTATCCATTCAGAAGGCATTCCCTTTGGTTTTGTTAGATATTAGGTCTCTGTAGAAATCTATTCTTCATCTTAAGAGCAACTAAAAACAAATGACCTCCTGAGTCTGCAAGTTCTCTCCAAACAGAGTTGCTAGAAGACTAAGCATAAGATGTATGTTTTCTCTATTTCCAAAACACTTTCAGCATTTTGCTTTAATTCTTTAAACCAGAATCCCTCATCACAAAGGATTACTTGAATTTTTTTATGTTGGATTTTCTTCCAGTTAAGCTGTTCGGGAAAAAAAAAATCTGAAATTTATATAGTTTTTATTTGTAGCAGTTTTAAAGAAATCCTAAATAAATAAATTTAGGAGTTGTCACACAAAGTGCTGCAGGATACTAAAATTAACAACTGAAAAAATTTAAAAGTTGTTATTGGAGTGTTTTTGTCTTAAAAATAACATAAAAAATGTCTTTATATTTCAGTTTACAGAATCCTCCAGGAAGCAAGGCTTTCAGAGTATTTGCTGTTGTTTGAATCTAGCAAGTAAAACATAAAACAGGCAAGTGAATACAGAGCACTTGGAAAAGATTAATACAGGCCATTTCATGTGATTCCTAAAATTTGTATAAAGCTGTAACATTATTGTACAGAAGATGTATGCTGCTTTCCACCAAAAAGTTTAAATTACATATAAATCTTAATGAAAAAAATCTGTAAAAATAAACATGGGAGAAAAATTCATTTGAAAATCTGTAATGATATATAACATTACTTTGAATCCTGTGTTAAATATTGCTATATTTTCTTAGCAGTTACTCCTATACAGTTAAATCAAAGCTCATAAATGTTCTTTGTTTTCTTTATCTGAATATATTATTATATGGTGCTTTATATATGCCACTAACAGTAACCTTAAAACTATACCAGAGGGAGGCCTCAGTTTTTATTTTCAATGTACATAAGTCATCCCAATATTTTGATAAAATAAATCATGCCTTAAAGTAAAATAAATGCATATATAACTTTTTGATGATTTAAAGTAGCATTAGCCATGAAAGCATCAATGAAGAGCTAGACTGTTCTCAATTTTACACTAATCATAACAAGTACAAATACCTATTTTGAAATAAATTAGGAAATTTAAAATATAGGAAGAAGTCCTGGGTCATGCTAGCATGTTTTCCATTAAAAAGTATTCTTAAGAGACTGGGCCATTCATGTCAGTTATTTTTAAAATAGATTAATAACATATTTATTGGATGCTGCTAAGCTCTTTAGTTCAAATAGCCATAGTTCATTATGGTCCAGTCCTTCACAGATATCCCATTGTCTTGGGATGGGTGTGTGAAACAGACATACATAACCTTGAAGGATGTCATAAAATCTTTGTACTGAGAAGTGCAGTAACCTGAAATTAATGAATAAGCCTGAAGTTCTGCACAAACACATGCTTTATTTTTGCTATTTGATTACTTCAATTTACCTAAATTTCAGTTCAGAAAAAGATGTAGAATTGTACACATCCAAAAAAAATTGCAAGCTTATAGCCTTGAGCTGTACATGTTATCAATATGCCAAACATTAATATGGGAGTAAATGTTCAAAAAAACCAAAGAAAATGGTAACAAAGGCTAACCTTGCTCCTTGTGACCTGGCAAATACTCCTGCAGGCCAGGAAGTATAGTGGTATGAAGCCCAGTGACAATTAGGTCATTTGTTGCTTCACAGTTTTCAAGAATTCATTTATGGTGAACAGCTTGGTACATTAATTTTACCATATTATGGTATATGAAGAACATGTAGTGGTGATACTATGTTTCTTTCTATGAAAAGTGTATGGGTGCTTTAAGACTAAAAAGCTGTTAAACTTTATTTTTGGTATATTTTGTTTCTGTTGTTGAATTTATTTCACTCCAACTTGTAAACTTATTAATATTCTTCATATTTCAGAATACCATATTCTGTATTCTCTTTTGCTACATGTACTACCTCATGTAGTTAGGCAAGCTTTGTTAGTTTTTTAATCTGTTTTGAATAAAATTAATTTACATTATAAGAATACCTTTCACAGGTTTTTTTTTTTCTTCCTGATTCAAGAGAAAGTAGCAGCCACCCTAAATATGTTTTTGTTTCTTTTTCTGCCCTAAACATTGACTGTAAAGGCAGTTTAGACCCAAAATTCCCACTAATTACGTTAGAAATCTTATGGATAAATCTAATTTATTCAAGTTTTGACCAGGATAAAGTCGATGAAGGAGACTAAGAGTCTTTTATATATAACCCTATTTTTTTCTGCAAGTGGTGGCCATTGAAAAAAACATTTATATAGATTTTGCAATACTGGCATTAACCATTTTTCAGGATTGAAACCAAGTTCCTGCACAATGGGGCAGGGGTAGACCCTTGGGGCCATAACAATAAAATTAATGTGTGGTGGGACGAGAGAGCTCCAACATTCCATGTGTGAATAATTGCTGTGAGCAGCTCTACTAATCAACAGAGTGCCAAGAAGAAAGTTACTCACCATCCTTTCTCCTCATTGCCCAAATTTATGGAGTTTTGTTGCTTTCCCACATGCAATGATTATCCTGTTCTTATGTAAATATTCCAGCTACCACCAGCTTTTTGAGAGTCTTTCTTCTGTATTTACTGTAAGTATAAGTCAATGAGTAGGCATTTCTAGAAAGTTGTAGAATGGGAGCTACACTTTGATATTTCTTTCTGCAGCAGAAGCAACTGTAGGCCAGATGCTCACAACAAATTCACACAAAGCCCAAAAGAATAACTAACAGTATTAGAAAACTTGACTGATGAAAAAAACATACAGAAAAGTCAATTTTTGGCTTTAGTGAACTTGAGACATATAATATTAGCCAGACATAAACTAAGGAAACGTAAAAAAAACATTTCCTAAAATGTGGATGCTGAGGAATTTTTATTAAAGGGCTCACAGAATTTGTTGTGTCTTGAGACACAATCACAGAGAACAGTCCTTTTGCATAGAGAACAGTCTGATCTAAAAATTTTGCATAAACTGATTTTTGAAACCAAACCTAAAACACAGGTTTGGAGAACATTTGTGTAAGCTTACAGCTTTTTAACTGAATAAATAGATTCAAGTTTTATGTAAATGTCAAGAGTGTCAGCTGTCTATGGATTCTCAATGGATTTGAAAGAGGAAAATAACATCAGTTTTTTTTGCATGTATTGATAGATATGTTCAGGACAATGCATGACCCTTAACTTCATATGGCAGAGATATAAGCAAGTTACTCACTTTAACAGTGTCTTCTGTGTGGCAATTGCTTTTGAAGTATGTTTTGAATTTGGTTTAAAAGCCAGATAACCCAGATTCCTGTGAATACACAAGGGAGGGTTTATTTCCTGCTCTTTCTGCAGCCATACAAAGGGCAAGACTTAGAAACATAAATATTTGGAAGTTACAAAGATTGTTCATACAGTGCAATATTCTGTTCAGAAATGTATATCAATACTGTATGAAATACTGTTCGGTCACACTTCTATGGCTTAAGGGTTTTTATAATGTTTGTGGAACTCTAGGGAATTATACAAGGAGTGAAAAGCCTGAAGATTTTTGTTTCATTCACTGTATAATATGCATCTTAGAGAGCTTTAGATATACAAATGACAACACACTTTAACACTCAGGAAGTTGCATATGAATTTATAAAAACACACATTGTGAATATAGGAAAAGAAGCCATGCTGTCAGTCTTAGCTTTAGCCTGTCTTTGCTGTCAGAAATAAATGATGGAGATAGTGTTGTATATATGGTCATTATTTATATTACTGATATTATTCTTAGTAAAGCAGAAGTCCTTGACATGACAAGTGAAAACACATTAAAATATGATTCCTGCTCCATGTTAGCATAGGATGATAATGTGACACCTGAAATTTGCCATCGGCTGTTCAATGATCTGTGCTGTCTTGCTCGTCTTAGCCTGTTTGCTGGGAGACAGATTCCTACATCATTAAACCATCATAGCATTTTGTAAAAAGTGCTGATAATGAGCGTTAAATATTCAGAAGCTAGGAAAGCCCCCCAGTCAGGCCAGCTTGGTATGCTAAGGCACAGGAAGATATAAAAGACGGAAGGAGGAAAGTCAAGGACATGCAACAAAAATGGCCACAAAGCTCCTATGTGTCACTATCTGCATTGATTACTGCAGTAATCACCCCAGTTATTCAATTCACTATATGCCCCCAGTGCTCTATCCAATATGTTTTGTCTTTGCTGACAATAGGGTTAGTCTCTGAGGGCTGGCAGTAAAACTGTTGGTTAAAAACTGAGATATGCTGGCCAAACAACACTATGTCCTAGTAGGCACAGAAAAGACTTCAGTTGCCAATATCAGTAACTCTTGGGCTTTTAAATCTCCAAATTTAATTTAAAGCATAAGCATTTATAACAATATTAGCAATAATACTGAAATTTAACATGAAGTCTGATTATGCAGTTTTACTTGATGTGTTTGCAGTTATTTCTGAATGAGTGATTTTCTATGACAATATCCATATTAAGAGTATAATCTTAAAATAAATACAAGAACTTGCCTTTAAATTTGCTTACATATCTGCAAGCTGAGAAACTCATAAGACTTTGTAGTAATACTCATTATTTTTAGGATCCTCAAGAAATTAGAAATGCTAGAAGGTAGTAGGGCTTCCAAACAGCCTACACAGCTTGAAAAACAAGTACTTCAGTGGCTTAATTATTCACTTAGGCTTGTTTATATGCAATGTAAATAGCAAGCTGGCTCTGACTTCTTATAAATTGCTGCTACTGTACATCTCAAAGATAAATTGGAAACAGTTGTTGAATAAATCTCCCTGTAGTCAGTTCAATCTTCATTCTGTATTTATCTGTTGAAATCCATCTGTTTCTTGTTGGTGGTTGTTTGCCTACTGAAGATCATGTCCTCTGAATAAGTATTTCTTTCATTGTGTCAGAACAACTCCAAGACCTTTGAGGCTGCAGGCTGCACTGAGCACAGAAACAGAGCAATCATTTTATGCAAAGGACTTAGTCTCATATTTTGGATTTAGCTCAGTTCAGTACACAAAGAAGTGCATTGTATTAATTGATGTTAGTGCTTACTGTACTGTACTAGTCCTATTCCAGCACAGCTATAAAACTGAGGCAATGAATAATTTTGTGAAATACTCTGAGCCCTTCTCTCTTATCCAAAAAGAGTTGTGGGGTAAAGTAGATCAGTTTGTGTTTTTAAATAACAGGAATAGCTAGACAGATGGGTTAGGTGGCTTAT